ATATATATATATATATATATATATATATAGAGAGAGAGAGAGAGAGAGAGAGAGAGAGAATGGTTGTAATGAAATTAAATTACTAAGTTTAATATTAAATGAATACTTATAGTTTTAAATTACAAATAGCGATAATTCGTTATTAAAATCGTAGAATTCAAAGCTGCATAACGACGAAGGATCAAAGTATTATATTTTTCATTCTATGATACAGATGTCAACAGATAGAATTAAAATAAAAACGCATGATATCGATTTACAAATAAAACATTCGCTTACATACAAACAATACTGTCCAGAACTGAAGAAAGTCGGCAGGATTTCACAAAAAATGCTTCAAGCCTCTTCTACTTTTTCTTTTTATAAGATTTCTTTCTCTTATTTTCTTATTACTTTTAGATACTTTCTTTCTCTTCTTAAGTACTCATTAACCGCACCGACTTCAGGCGCATGAAAGCGGTCCATCCCTATACTTTTGTTTCGGACACACTGTAATTGCCTAAGCAGCCCAAGATCAGTCGCTTGGAGCCTATTGAGAGAGCTTACTCCGTCAACGCTGTTTCGGGTTGCGTCGGCCACACTCCAATACGTGGAAGTCGCCTTAGCACCGCTCGTCAAGCCTATGGTCAAGCGGAGTAAGAAAGAGATATGAGCTGACACACGCCTCTGGAGAACAGTCGAAGATATTTTCCATACGCATCACTGGATTAAAATACAGCGAGAATCAGGATTTCCATTCGTAACTAAAAGGCTAAGGACAGAACGCTCGGTTATTTTTTCGACAAATTGAAGACTTTTCTACAATTTTTCTTGTATTTATCATTTTTATATTTCTTGCACTTTTACCATTTTATTTTTTTTCTCTAAGCCTTTGAGGGGCATGTCCCCCCTCTCGATCCATCCGCCACTGCGATTACATCAGTCATCCAACAGCTTGAGTCAAAAGCTTGAATTTGTTCTGATAAAAAATACGTCACTTTTCTTGGTTTTAGGGCATTTAAAAAAATTAAAAGTATTTTATTGATCATTTTTTACAATGTTTCAGGTCTTTAAAATCCACCCCTTTGTTATTATTCCCATCCCAGTGACACAACATAAATGCCTGACTGTGAGTCAAGCGTTGTCGATAAATTAAGATAGTTTTTCATTCCAAATGTTTTGGTCAAATGTATTACAGATTATGTAGAATGCCACAGGCTAAACTCAGCTCACGCTGCGATACGATTTTATTAGTTTTAATGATTATCCGAAAATATTTTTACGGTGTAGAGAGTAGTTTATGTAATGCTGCGCGAAAAATGGCCTAGTTTCAGCAGAAAAAAGTGTTATTACAGGGCCCTGGCAACGAAAGAGTGGATAAATCCAGTTGCTAAATTCCGAAAACATCCTCTAACACGTGATGTAGTCAGAGTCCTTGTTTTGTAGATCCTTGACATAGAAAAATGAATGGCGGCAAAACGTCTGTCTGACCGCCTGTGAACAAAGCTAGAGGATAAACCGTTCTGCTGATTTTCTCCAAAATTGATATTCTCCCATCTATCTGTCTGATTTGTGGCCCTTTGAATTTGAAACCGATATTTTAATT